ACAAAAGATTGCCCACCTGCCCGCGAAAGCCAATAGTTGGCCGGTGCGACGGCAGCGAGGGCGAGTGAGCCCATGTCCTCAGAGGCCACTTGTAGGCTTGTGGCGAAATGGCCGTGATGGGGCGCTTGATGGGCCGTCTTCCCGCAGTGGCCAATAGCAGGCCTGCGCGATGGTGTCGCAGTGGCCACTAGTTTGCCTGCCCGCCGAAGCCAAAAGTAGGCCGGCGCGACGGCAGCGAGGGCGAGTGAGCCCAAGTCCACAGAAGCCAGTAGTAGGCTTGAGGCGGATTGACCTTGAATGGGGCACTATATGGTCCGTCAGTCCGCATCGGCCAGTAGTAGGCTTGCGTGACAGCAGCGAGAGCATAGGAGCCCGTGACCACAGAAGCCAATGCGATGCGCTGGCACCACAAGCCTACCATGGGCCCAACGGTAGGCTTGGCGGTGCCAGCGCACGGCCGGACGCCACTTGGACCACCGTCCGTGGCCGACAGGCTCGTGTGATGCCAGGCAGGGCAAACGAGCGCAGCACCACCAGCGAGGGCAACGGAGCCCAGTGCCAACGAGGCCAGAGGAGGACCGGCGGCGACGCGACCCAGAGAGCGCACAAGGCAGCGAGCCTGCACGCTCGTGCATCGTCCGCAGTCGCCGGGCCGGCGCCGCGGCGCGCGCTCACCCCGTCGGGCCGCGCGCGCACCTGCGATCCCCGCCGGCGCAGCGGAGGCGCGCCCGCGCGCGGACCTGCCCCGCGCGCGCGCGCGCCTGTCAAGCGAGGAACGTGTAAGTCGGGCGTGTCCCTCTACAGGAGGAATATTCAAATATAGCCTCAAAATAGGATGGGGACGATTTCGCGAGTATTTTTGTTCGCCCTGAATCCCCTTGTTGGAGGACACGCCCGACCTGAAGCAACGTATACCAGCAGGTCGCGCTCCGCGCGCGTGCGTCTGCCGTCCGCGCGCTGCTTCCCGCTGCCCCCCTCAGGAATTGTGCCCGCGAGCATCGTTGACGCGGCTTGGTCTTGCACTGGTCCTCCTCCTCCTCCTCCTCCTCCTCCTCCTCCTCCTCCTCCTCCTCCTCCTCCTCCCCCTCCTCCCCCTCCTCCCCTCCTCCCCCTCCTCCCCCCAGTGCGGCTCTCGCCGTAGCGCCGCGCGCATTCGTTTTAAGAGTTCACGACATTTTCAAGGGTTCTCGTGGGTGGCATCCCCCAACTGGTGTTTCGGCACGATGTCAGAATGACAGGGCGCAACCGTTACGTTGATTCCGTGGTGTCGAAGTTTCAGAAAATGGTGTTATGGCACGATTCCTGATCGTCAAGACGCGATCATAACGGTGATTCGCCGCGTCGAAGCCCCAGGAATGGTATTTTGGCACAGCTCAGGATTTTCACATGACCGTCTTCCAACGGGGCACTTCCCTCAGTGAAAACGAATCTTCGCATGGGGTCTACGAAGACGGAATTTGGTGGGAGGCTTCATTGCAATATCGTTGATGAGTCTTGGGTTGGCACTGTTCCTCTTGCTCCTTCCCTTCCTCCTCCTCCGCCTCCTCCTCCTCCTCTTCCCTTTTTCCGCCGTCCCCGCACCCCCCCTTTTCTCCGTGCATCCCCTTTCGGCATGTTCCGCCTCATCATCCTCCTTACCATTGCCTCCTCCTCATCATCATCATCATCCTTACCATTGTCTCCTCCTCATCCTCCTCATCCTTATCATTCTTCTCATCCTCATCCTCTTTCTCATACTCCTCCTCCTCCTTAAATTGCCTCCTCCTCCTCCTCATCCTCCTCATTCTCATCTTCCTCCTTTCCCTGTTCGCCTCCTGTCCTTTCCTCTCCTCTTCCTTGGGCCTCCTCTCGCGCCTCCTCCCTTTTTCTCGTCCCCCCTTGTCCCCCTTCTTCCCAACAACTCCCCTGATTCCCGTGCTTGCCATGCCTCTCTTCATTCTGCGCTTCCCCAGTTCTTGCCTCTTTTTTATCTCTCTCCTCCCCCTTCCCTTTTCCAGCTCAGGCTCCTCATTCGTCCCGCCCTCCTTATCCTTCTCCTCTTCCTCCTCCTCCTCCTCCTCCTCCTCCTCCTCCCCGTCCTCCCCCTCCTCCTCCTCCTCCTCCTCCTCCTCCTCCTCCTCCTCGTCCGTAGACGTCTTGGCTCAACATTCCGAGGTCTCCGCATGATCCCGTGGATACCGCTGGTCCGCGGCCAGACCGAAGAGTTTCAGTGAAGTCCTGCTGGGACACCACCTTCTCTCGTTCGCCCGCCCCGTACACCAGCCGAGCGAGCAAACAGAGCATTAGGCACGTTGTCAGCAATGCAACGAGTGGGCCTACGATTCAACCATCTAGCAGGGCGGCGGGTACCGCAAGAAGTGGGACGCCCACGCTGCGCCCTACAGCGGGGAGTACGGCACTCACAATTCGGGCGTCTCTCCGCCGTGGAGAAGGCAACCCTCATCCACCCACACTGAGGTTGTATGCGGCCAGCCTGACACGGCGCTCAAGGAAGTGGGCAACAACCCCATGCTTGCGGAGCAGCTCTCCTCGGTCAAAGGAACCGTCGCCCTCCAGAGCACGCCGAAAGCTCAGGACACGCCAAAAGAGCAGATCCGCAAACAGGCGTTCGACAATATCAACAGGGCGAAAGGCAAGCGCAACATCATCACGAAAACGTTTCTTGAGGCGCAGAGGGTCGTCCAGAAACTCCAAAATGACATGGGCGACGCGGCGTTTGAAGCCCACGAGGTGAAGCCAGAGCGCTCGCAGGCTTTGGGTGGCAACGATTTGGAGCATAGCGCCCACGACAACGAGAAAGGCATTGACATCTTCACTTTCGCTGGGGCCTCCTCGAGGACATTGACGTTCTTGAAGAGGTTCAGAAGAATCAGTTCGCCAAGTTCCGAGCTGAGGCGCAGGCCATGCAGGAGCTCACGCGGCAGGCTCGTAATCCGCAGGACGGGATGCTCGACATGGTGGAAAGGCAAGCAAGACCAAGGTGGACCATGCGAATAATAATACTACTAATAATAATAAGGGTAATAATATCACGAATGATAAGAATACCAATAGCAAGAATAACACTAATAATAATACTAAGAAGAAGAAGCGGGAAGGTGGTAACGAGGAGGCACCACAAACGCAAACACATATTCAGGAACCACAGGAGCAGGCTGTCATCCAGGAGTCCTTAGGCCAGATCAAGCGCCAGGCCACCGGCCACGCGAAGGGCAGCGGCAAGGGCGAAGCGCAGAAAGTGAGGCGGCAGTCTGGCACGGATGCTAGCCAGCAGCGCTAGGGATCCTCCTGAACTCCAGATTTGGCAGCGCTGCGAATTACCATCGCGACAGGAACAAGGTCACTGGCTTGACGAAGGTGTTCAACAGCAGCATCCCTTCTTGGGGAGAGACAAGCCTCGCAAGTCCATCTATGAGAACACCATGGCAGACGTTTTCGCCTTCGCGGAGGCCCATGTGGCGCAGCAAGGAGAAAGCACAATTAAGCGGCAGTTGGCCAAAGCTGGTTGGAAGGTGGCTGCGACGGCGGCCGCGTCGACAGGAAGTTCGCAGGAGGCCAACAGCAGTGGCGATGCCGTTATCGCGAACGCCCACCTGGCGACCTCCACGTACGACAAGATGAGGCAGGCGATCACGGCGACGGGCGCGAGGGCCCATTCAGAGTCGGTTCGGCGATGATTCTCTACCCGAGGCCGGGGAAACTCATGGTCTTCAGTTTTTACCTCCTCCCAGCCGAAAGTATAAAACAAGGGCTCGGACTTCGATGGTCTGAAAGGCCTGTCAGTTTTCAGTGGCAGAATCACGGGCCCATGGGTTATCTTAGCGGATTGAAATATGGCCCCTGTTGCGGTTGACTCCTCGGGCCGCCCTCAGATGCTAGGCTGCAGGTTGTTCGAGGCAGACGTGTTGGTCACGTGTGATGATGGCAAATCTAGCCCCATCGGTTACGACGTGGTGCGACAGGGCTGGAGTAGAGCTCGTTGTGGGGGCACGTGTTCCTTGGCGAGCGCATGTGGGCCTAATATGATAGGCGCCTGGCGGCTCGGGGCCCCAGGGGCGCAAAAATCTGGAAATCCCTCGCCCCCTTCCCCAGGTCGAACTTCCAGGATGCAGCCAGTCCACGACTCGCAAAGCAGCGAGCGGAAGGCAGCCGCAAAGGAACGACGTCGACACGCTCTATCAGAGCATCTCCAGGAAGAGTTCCACTAGATGGAGGCGGATGACGAGCGATCGCGCACGTCTTCGGTGCAGCACCAGGTAGATGTCAGGTGATGGCGCAGCGCGAAGAGGTGGGCGACCCAGCCACCCAGCGAACCACGCGCACTTAGATTTCATCCTCTCGTGAGCAGTTCTAAGCAGCTCCTGCTAGAGGAGACGACCGCGTGGCTCAGGCGCGGGGGGCGCGGCCTGCGCCGCCGCCCTGGAGGGCGCGATTGTAGCCAACAACAACGTCAGCGAAGTGGGGGCCAGCGAGCGCCGTGGGAGGGGCAGCGGGTTCTCGATGAGGCGGCAGAGATCTTACGCGACACCTTGAGCCGCGCGCATGACCTACCAGCCACCGAGACACTGGCCCATCGCAGCCCGCCCCTTTACTCTGCACATGGCCCCGCGCACCAACCAGACAGAGATCGAGCAGCGGAAGAAGACGAATATTAGCCGCGGGACAGAGTGCCACATATGCAGGCGACTGGGGATCTCTAACACGCAACGCGCGCGACAGGCCGACGGACCGCCAGGAGGTTGACGCCTCCATGTTGCAGGTAGTGAAGGTCAGCGGCTGCGCGCTCGAGGGGCGCCAGGATGGTCGCGAGTGGATTGAGCGCGATTTGGTCAACGCGGCGACCCGTGGATTCGCTTCTCAGAGGCAGCAGTTTACCATATGGGCGACGTAGATGCGGGCGAGCATGCCCGGTCTCTTGCGCGGGCGCGTGAAGGGTGGCCCTGGCCCGGCTTGAAAGCAGGTCAAGGGCGGCGCCTCGTCGGGGAGGCCCGAGGTCCTCGCGCGCGCCGGGTCGGGAGGTGGGCCTCGATCTGGATGGGCCTCGGCATAGCAGGCAGGAGATCCTCGAGGCAATTGGTCGGCCACGCAGTCGGGCGCGCGATGAGGGCCTTGGGCCCGTCGCAATCGAGGGGCTCGAAGGCGCCGTTCGAGACGCCAGCCCCAGCGAAGCTGGCGGGGTCGACGGCCTCGAGCTACGCGACGCCGGGCGCCCCCCCCCCCCCTGCCCGGGAAGCGCGGTGGGAGCTGCTCGAGATCATCAAGTACAGCGAGCACGGCTGGGGCCGCGGCGCGCGTCGCCGGGGGCCGTCGCACCCCGGCCAGCGGGTGGAGAGCGAGTTCTCGGCGTGCTCCCAGTCCCCGTCGAGCTGCGGGCCAGGGCGAGGGCCTCCACGCGCGCGACCTGGAGCGAGGGCCTCAGCGCGCACTGGGGCGCGGCGATCAAAGCAGCCCCGCCCTCGGCGCGGGGTTGGCGTCGCAAGCCTCGCTTTGCTTCGGCATGTAGAGAAGTTCCACGACGGCGTGAGTCTCGCCCCCCTCGCTGGCGTCGAGGCGGGGGCTGGGCCACCTGCCGCGGTCGTGGACATGCAGGTGGCCTCTTTCGCGGGGCCCCGCCACCTCGGGCAGAAGTCGGCGCTCGAGGAAGCGATCTGGCCGAGGCGATCTATCATTGCGCGGCGTCCTCGAGGTTTTGCTGTCGCGAGGACCTTCCTTATGGCTCGTGACATCCGTGCGCAGCGGCTTCAGATGTCAGAAAAGACGGTTCCCGTCGGCATCTCAAAAGAACATAGCCAAAACTATTGAGGTGGGACCTCCAGCGACGCGGAGCACGAGCGCAGGCGGCGCGCGACGCCGAGGACCTCTGCGTCGGCGCGGGCACAGGACGCAGTGGAGTTGTCGACTCATAAGGAGGCAGCTCAAGGAAGCCGACGAAATTGACCCCAGGGCAAAAAAAGCCAAGACGCTCAGTCACATCGTCGAAAGAGTCCAAGTCATACTGGACCCCTGGTGCCCTTGCGGAAGCGATTTGCGGCAGCCGGTCTTTCGGGTCGGGCTTCATCAGTTCCAGCTGCTGCGGCCACGCGCTGGGCAGATGCCGGCAGGCAGTCAGAGATGCAGATTCCAGGCGACGGCGTCAGCAGCAGAGATGTGGGGCGCGCGGCCAGGCGTGCAGCCGCATATGGTCATTATTCAGAGGCCCCATCTCAACTATTCACGCGACGCTCATGGACATCGGATGGGCCCCAACGCAGAGGACGTCACGGGGGCGACCGCCGCTGGGCGGGCGGCGCCCAGCTTGGCAGATCCCCGGCAGCAGCGACGACGACTACATTCAGAACTGGGAGCGCATGGCCGCCCCCTGATACATCATCACATTCAGAGGTTTCATGGGAATCGGGCGGCCACTCACGAACGTGGGGGCGGACTTCAGGTCGGCGATGACGTTTGGCGTATACGGCGGGAACCAAGTATATTTTAGCGAGATGCAGTTTCCAGTGCCCTCGCCCTCAATTTCGCGGTTGTCGCTGTTGGTCAGTGGACTCGCGCGAGACAAGCAAGCGCGATATATCTTGAGCACGGCTGTTATGTCCACATTGCGTGGCGGCTGTGGAACCCCGCGTCGCCAGGTATGGGAGCGCGAAAAGAAAATCGGGGGAAACTTCGGAAAGTCCCGGGGGTTCGCCCCTCAGGCCTTGGCGCGCGTAGACCTCGAGCCCGCGTGCTGGCCGAGGGATCTCCCGCTTGCGGCCCTCGCGCGCTCCGCGTCCGATCTGTTCGTTGCCACCTTCTCCGGCAGTTATTATCGTTCGGCTTCGCCGAAATCACCGAGGCGGGCAGAGTGGACATTTTTTGTTGCCGCTCGGGGGCGAAACGCTCGGGGGGTCCTGCGGAGGCGGCGCGGCGGAGCAGCCGTCGCGGGCCTCGCTAAGAATATCGCGGGGGGTGGACGTTCGGGGCGGCGATCGAGAACCCCTGGTGGGCAAGGTTCAGGCTGTCTCCCGAGTCGAAGTTCTGCTCGTCGGCCTCGCTCTGGAGCCGGTCCAAGATGTCGAATTCACGTTTGTCACTGACCACCGGAGCCCTGCCAGGAACTAGTCCACCAGGTTTTAGAGCCCCGAGTCGACAGGGGTCGACGAGGACCTCTGGAATAGGCCCGCGTGGCCTGGCGCAGGAGGGCCATGCCCATCCAGGTTCAGTGGTTCCCGTTTCACCCGGGTGTCAATGTAGCCCAGCTCGACACTCGGGAAGACAACGACGCATTGTCTCGCCTTTGGCAGCGCCTGTGCGGACATCTGGGCTGGTGGTGGCGGAGGGGGCTGTGGACTGGATGCTAGGTCGGCTTCCAGACGCAGGTTTTTTAGACGTGGCGGCCGCTCTCATGCTGCGTCGCGCGCGCCGAGCGTTAGCGCGTGCAGAAGAGGCGGGGGCAAGGCGAGGGCCGAGAGGCAAGCCCCGTCGGGCCCCAGGCCGTGCGAAGTCGAGATGGCCTTCTCACAGCTCGACGCGCTCCCTTGAAATGTGCGGAGGTCGATTGTGGTGGCACGCATCTTGCCAGCAGGTTCATCCGATGCATCTGTATGAATATATGTATGTCTGCTTGCTTGTCTGTCTGTCTGTCTGTCTGTATGTATGTATGTATGGATTAGCATTTGTATTTGTATTTGTATGTGTATTTGTATGTGTATGCGTATTTGCATTTGCATGTGTATTTGTATTTGCATTTGTATGTGTATTTGCATTTGTATTTGCATTTGTTTTTGTATTTGTATTTATATTTGTATGTGTGAGTACATGAAGTCAAGAATCGCCCGCCGCGCCGTGTCCTCCCTCCCCGCATCGCGAGGGGCCCCCCGAAACGATCCAGGATGCCCTCCGAATCCGTGAGGACTTGAATTCAAGAGCTGCGCACGGAGTCAGGAACTCGCAGAGCCCAGGCCCCGATCCGCCTGGCCATGCTGCTGCTCCTCGGGAGGAGCAGCGAGAGCGGCGCCAGGGCTCGCGGCCCTCTCCCTCGTTCTGGCATGGCCGGGTTCGGCCCCAGGGTGCCCAGGCTGTGGGGTCCCAGGGCCCCAGGAGGAACGCTGTCAAGAGAAACGTTCAATGCAGTAGTAAGGACCGGGTCCGCGATCAAATCGTTCACATTTTTCTTCCCTCTCCTCCTCCTTCTCCTCCTCCTCCTCGTCCTCCTCCTCCTCCTCCTCCTCCTCCTCCCTCTTCTCTTCCTCCTCGTTCTCCTTCTCGCCCTTCTCCTCCTCCTCCTCTTTTTCCTCCTCCTCGTCCTATTTCTCATCCTCCTCCTCTTCCTCCTCCTCCTCCACCCTTCCACCTCCCTGCGAAGAGGATGCCGCCCATGTGCCGATCGAGGCAGGGGCCGCTCTGGCCCAGGAGCTGTCCAGGTCGCCCCCGCACGGGGGGCGGGGCGGGGGGGGGGGGGGCGAAGGAATGTGGAGGAAGAGGGGGACGAGGAGGAAGAGGAGGAGGAGGAGAAGGAGGAGGAACGGAAGGAGGAGGAGGAGAAAGAGGAGGAGGAGGAGGAGCAGGAAAAGGAGAAGGAGGAGCAGGAGGAGGAATGGGGAGGGGGAGGAGGAGGCGGAGGAGGAGGAGGAGCAGGATGAGGAGGATGAGGAAGAGGAAAGAGGAGACGAAAAGACTCTTGACGCGAATCGCAATACTAATATAATGAACAAGCCGAGCAATAACAAAAGCATTCAAAAAACCATGACGAATTGTAATTCGATTAACCAGAAGCAATATAATACTAATAACACATACTATTACGTTTACGAATCAGACGAAGCATACACCTGACAATGCTAATAGCATGGTTTGTTGTCATAGTAATGCTGTATTAACAATAAGAAGAAGATTATGCTTACTGGTACGCATACTATTCATGGTATTGATGATAATGCCACTGCTGATACTGAGTTTACAACTAGTACTATTATTTCGAATGGTAGCATTGCTGAGAAACATGCTACGGATATTAAACTTGATGCTACCGACGATGATGATGATGATTATGATGAGGATGATTTCGATCTTCATACTACTAATACGACTAATCATGTTAACAATAATGATATGAGGAAATATGGTTATCATCTTACTAGCACTCAGAAGAACACTACTACTAATGATGCGAACGAGGAGGAGGAGGAGGAGGAACAGGAGGAGGAGGAAGAAGAGGGAACAGAGGAGGAGACGGGAAAAGAGAAGGAGGAGGGTACAGAGGAGGAGGAGGAGGGAACAGAAGAGGAGGAGGAAGAGGACGGAAAAGAGGAGGAGAAGAGAAAAGAGGAGGATGAGGATAAGGAGGAGGAGGAGGAGGAGGAGGAGGAGGAAGATGAGGAGGAGGAGGAGGAGAGGAGTAGTAGGAGGGGGAGTAGGGGGAGGAGGGGAGGATGAGGAGGAGCGAAGAGAGGAGGAGGAGAGGAGGAGGAGGGGGAGGAGGAGGACGACCAGGAGGAGGAGGAGGGAGGAGTAGCAGAATGAGGAGAAGGAGGAAGGAGGAGAGGAGGAGAGGAGGGAGGAGGAGAGGAGGAGGAGGAGGAGGAAGGAGGAGGGAGGAGGAGGAGGAGGAGGAGGAGGAGAAGAAGGGTAAGGGGGGGGCGGTGATTTCCATGGCCAAGGTTCAGTTTGTGTTCATCTCACTGTCAGACCCTGGATTCCTGATCCAATGGATCTTTCAGCGCGTGCGAGCGCACAGATATCTGACATGTTGCCATCGACGTTCTGTCGGGAACTTGTGGTTCGCGTGTCGCTCGCCGGTTTTGGCTCACCACGGTTCGGCGCGACACGCTATCCACATCCCAGTCCACGGGCGTCCACGTCCCGAGCCTTTGCCATCCTCCCGCCCCGCGGAGCGGAGCGACACACTATGCGTGTCGCCAGGACCGCCGCCGCGACACGCTAAGCAAAAGCCCCGACCGTAGCCCGTAGCCTGGAGGAGGCCCCATGAAGCGTCAGCCCTCCGGGACGCCTCCCGGAGGCATCGCAGCGCGGAGAGCTTTCCGAGCGGCTCTCCGTCAAACCGTGCAGGCGTTGGCCGTCACCTTCTCCCAAAAGGCACCGCCGTCGCCCCTGAAGAGCAGCTTCACGCCCTCCTCAAGCTGCTGCTGTTTCGCCAGGGCATTGTAGCCCGATGTGGTCGCAACCTGCCTGGGTGCATCCTGCAGGATTGCCTTTGGGTATCATACCCTCGGGAGTGGCAAGAACGCACCGCGGGCGCCCCGTCTTCCGCTCAGCGTCGTCATCTGCCGTTTGTATCATATACCGTGAACCGCAACATGCGTGGATATACTTATATACGTGTATATATATATATATATACACAGGAATCCGATCCGCTCCGCCAAAGGCGAGCTTTACGACGATACGCCTGCAGATCATTCAGGCCCATTTGCCCGCCTGCGCCAACAGGTCCCACCAGTGGGCTCCACAATACGTCGTGGCACTCCGCGCTGGCTGCTGCACCAGCGCCCACGCTAGCGCCTTTCGTCTGCATAGCCTCGTGTGTGCGCTCGCGGTTGGAGCCGACGCCAGCTTGGAGCCGACGCTGATGCAGTCCACGCCCTTGCTATCGGCCCCGTCCGAGATTTTGATGATGTCTCCTCGTGGTATCAAAAGTGTGCATCGTCCCCAGAGCCCCAGCAGCGTGACCGCCGACGGCCCAGCCGGCATCGGCGTCGGCAGCCCCGAGAACTCGGCTCTCGGCGGCCGCCGCGGCAGATGGCCGACGCCACGCGACAGGCGCGCAGTCCGCGTCGTCCCGAACGGGGCCCGCGCCGCTTGCGCCCCTCCCCTTCGTGAGGCTCTGCTGTCCCAGACCCCCTCGAGTCATGAAAAACTCAGGCGGGAGGTTTTTCGCCATTTTCGGCCTCTGGGAACCTTCACCGGCCCTCAGGACCGTCAAAAAACGACTCGGGATGGAAAACCGGTCCCGGGGAAGGGGTCCGGACCTCTGGGGGCCGCGTCATGAAAAAAGTCATGACGTCGGTGGTCTGGGGTGCTGGTGGCAACCCCTGGCTGTGATTTCCGTGCTCGCCCGACTCCCTGTTAAACATCACCGCACGAGCATGCAGTGGAGGCCCCTGCCAAGAAGCACCCTGCTTGCCTCCAGGGTGCCCTGGGTTTCTTGGGTTCCGATGGTTTTGCCATGGAGAGCGCGACGCTCCCGCGCCAAAAACAATGGACGTCCTGGAGTCTCAGGGTTGGGTTTCTTGTGGAAGGTTTCTTGTGGACTGACCTCTGTGCAGCAGCTCCTGGTCGGTGTGCTCCCTGGCAGTCGTTGATCACATCCTCACCGCCGTGGTCTCTGATGAAGTAGCTGCCACCCGCTGCGGGGCCGACTGCCTCCCCGCCACTCGCTGGCGACTCGCTCTGGCCACCGTGAGTCCTCCTCCTGTCTCCTCCTCCTCCTCCTCCCTCCTCCTCCTCCTCCTCTTCTCCTCTCTCCTCCGCCTCCGCCTCCTCCTCCTTCCTCTTCCCCTCCTCCTGCTCCTCCTTCTCCTCTCCCCCTTCTCCTCCTCCTCCCTCCTCCTTCTCCCTCCTCCTCCTCTCCTCCCCCTCCCCCTCCTCCCTCCTCCCTCCTTCCCTCCTCCCTCATCCCTCCTCCCTCCTCTCCTCCTCTCTCCTGCCTCACTCCACCTCCTCCTCCTCCTCCTCCTCCTCCTCCTCCCTCTCCCTCCTCCCTCCTCCTCCCTCATCCTCCTCCTGCCTCCTCCTCCTCCTGTTCTCCCCCTCTTCCTCCTCCCCTCCTCCTCCTCCTCCTCCTCCTCCTCCTCCTCGCCTCCTCCACTCCTCCCTCCTCCTCCTCCCTCCTCCCTCCCCCTCCTCCCGCCTCTCTCCACTCATCACTCCTGCCTCCTCCACCTCCTCTCCTCCTCTCCGCCTCCTCCTCCTCCCCCCTCCCTCCGCCCTCCTCCCTCCGTCTTTCCTCCTCCTGGCCTCCTCTCCTCCTTCGTTCTCCCTCCTCGTTCCTCCTCCCTACCTCCTCCTCCTCCTCCTCCTCATCCTCCTCCTCCTCCTCCTCCTCCTCCTCCTCCTCCTGAAGGTTTCTTGTGGCCTGACCTCCACATGTCTGACGCTCCATTGCGGGAAGCACCCCCCGTGAAAATGACGAGCTCCCCGCGGGCCTGCCACTCAGGCGAATGCCCCATTTTTGTGAAGCACCCGCCCACCCTGCTAGTTTTTGAAGTCGGGCGTGTCCCTCTACAGGGGGGATGCTCAAACATAGTCAAACAATAATCTGGGCAGTAAGTGTTGGATTGTTTTCTATGTGTCTTTCAGAATCCGACCGTAGGGGGACATGCCCGACCGAACGCTCGGTAGAAAGAGGAGAAGGGAGGCAGGACAATACAAACGTTCCATGAAGTGTCCAGTGATAGCCCTGTTGTGAAAGGAGGTGTGCACTTCCAAAGTTGTGCAGTAAGAGCTGAACGCACGAACGGACCCCGCGCTAAGGCGAGAGCAACATTTTGGAAGCCACGGCCGCCCAATCCTTGTAGCCGTGGGGGTCATTCCTTCAGGATCGTAGCGAAACACCTGGCCAAGCAAGGAAGTATCGTCTTCAAGAGATTTGCGTATCTTGAGAGTCGTGGTTAATGCCAGGAAGTCTCATGCGAATAACCTTGCCCAGCCTGCGGACACGTCTGGGGGTGCGATAGGGGGGGTTGTCCGGAGGAGAAGGGGAGCAGGAGATGGAGAGGGCGAAGTGATCAAGCAGGAGAGAGGGACGGCGGAGTGAGGATAATGAGGTTGAGGAGGAGGAGGAGGAAGTGGTGGAAGAGGAGGAGGAGGAGGAGGAGGAGGAGGAGGAGGAGGAGGAGGAGGAGGAGGAGGAGGATGAGTAGGAAGGGGAAGAAGATGAGGAGGAGGGAGAGGAAGTGTGGAAGACGAGGAGGAGGAGGGGAGGGGAGGAGGAGGAGGAGAGGAGAGGAGGGAGGGGAAAGAGGAAGGAGAAGGAGGAGGAGTATGAGGAGGAGTAGGAGTGAGGAGGAGAAGGAGGCAGCAGGGAGGGAGGAGCGGGACCAGAGGGTGGCACGGACGAGGGGCGGGTGACGCAGGAGCGCCTCAGGTGTCTGGCGCAGGCGCTCGCCGAAGAGAGGCGGGCGCTCCGCGTCGCGCTGGAGAGGAGCCACGAGGCCCCTCGATGGCCTTCGGCGGCCTTCGGCGGCCCTCGGCGTTCACTCAAGCGGCCTCTGGCAGCCTTCGGCCGCCCCACCCCTCTTCCTCCAACCTCATTCTGCTCCCCTCCTCGGCCCCTCCCGCCCTCTCCTTGTCGCCGCCCTCTCCTTCTCCTTCGCCCTCCTCCTCCTCCTCCTCCTCCTTCCTCCTTCCTGCCCTTCCTCCTCTTCCTCCCCTGCTCCGTTTCTCACTCTGCTTTTTCTTTCCTTCTCCGGCTCCCTTGCTTCCTCCTGGCTCGTCGTCCTCCGCATCGAATTAATATCCGTCCTCCCTCCACCCGCGTCCTCGCCCTCCCTCCTCCCCCCGATCCTCTTCCTCTATGATCCTTTTTAGTCTCTCATTCTCATCATCGCTCTCCTCCCTCCTCCCTCCTCCTCCTCCTCCTCCTCATCCTCCTCCTCCTCCTCGTCCTCGTCTTCCTCCTCCTTCTTTTCCTCTTACTCCTCCTCCTGCCTCCTCTCCTTCTTCGTCTTCTTCTTCTTCTCCTCCTCCTCCTCCTCCTCCTCCTCCTCTCCTCCTTTCCTCCTCCTCCTCCTCCCCCTCCTCCTCCTCTTCCTGCCTCCCCTCCTCCTCATCCTCCACTCCTCCTCCTCCTCTCCTTACTGTGCCACCCTTCTCCCCCTATACATCCTCCACAGTTTTCCTCGCCCCATTTCCCCCCCCACCCCCACCACACCCCGTCCTCCCTCCCTGCTCGTCTCCTCCCTTTCTTTCCCCGTTCCTCGTCCTCGTCGCCCCCTCTACCATCCCACCCCTTCTCCTGTGTCCTCTCTCAATCCTGCTCTTCTCCTCCTTCCTTCTCCTCCTCCTCCTCCTCCTCCTCCTCCTCCTCCCTACAGCTCGTCCTGCCCACACATCCCTATTCCTCTTCCTCGTAATCCTGCTCGTATATCTCCTTCCCTCCTCCTCTTCCTCGCCCGAGCCGCCGTTCGCCAGGCGAGCCGGGACGCGCTGGACGAGGAGCTGGTCCGGAGGCGCTCGGGTCGGCCGGTCCGCGTCGACAGCGGGACCGGGCTTTCTCCTCCGCCTCCTCTTCCTCCTCCTCCCCCTCCTCCTCCTTTTCTTTCTCCTTCTCCTTCTCCTTCTCCTTCTCCTCTCTTCTCTCTGCTTTTCCCCCTTCTGCCCTCCCCCGCCTGTCCCTTCTGTTCGCCCATCCTCGTTTTCCCAGTGATTGCCTCGACCTGAGTGTAAACCGCGATGGACGCTCGCGACCATCGTGCCTCCCAATGTGGTGGCTCCAGGAAGCTGGGCCTACTGACGGGATGAAGGCGCCCAAGATCCATCACTTCAAGCCCTTTCATTCCTCCTTTCATTCTCTCCTCTCCCTGCCTCACTCCTCCTCCTCCTCCTCCTCCTCCTCCCTCCTCCTCTCCTCCTCCCTCCTCCTCCTCCTCCTCCTCCTTCCTCCTTCCTCTTCCTCCTCCTCCTCCTCCTCCTCTCTGTCCCCTTCCTCCTCTCCTCTCCTCCTCCTCACGCCTCCTCCTCCTCCCCCTCCCCCTCCTCGCTCCCCCTCCTCATCCTCAATTGCTTCTCCTTCTAGGTCTCCTCCTCCTTCTCCTCTCCCCCTCCCTGCGTGTAGTTAGGCCTGGAAACTTCGTGGTACTGGCGCTGAGCCTTCCTTGCTCCTCTCCTCCCTCTTCTCCTTCTCCTCCTCCTCGTCGTCCCTTCCCCTATTCTCCTCCTTCTCCTCCTTCTCTCCTTCTCTTCCTCCTCCTCCTCCTCCTCCCCTCCTCTCCTCCTCCTTCCTCCTTTCTGCCCTTACTCCCTCCTCCTCCACCCTCCTCCTCCTCCTCCTCCTCCACGCCTCCCTCCCTCCGGCCCACGGTTCTCTTCGTCGGCTTCGGCTCCGCCTCCCGTCCTCCTCCTCCTCCTCCTCCTCCATCCTCCTCCTCCTCCTCCTCCTCCTCCTCCCCTCCCCCATTCCCTCCCCCTCCTTCTCCTCCTCCTTTTCCTCCTCCTCCTCTCTCCTCCTCCTCCTCCTCCTCCTCCCTGCCTCCCTCCTCCCTCCTGACTCCTCCCTCCTCCCTCCTCCCTCCTCCTCCTCCCTTCTCCCTCCTCCCTTATCCCTTCTCCCTTCTTCTTCTTCTTCTTATTATTATTATTTCTATTATTATTATTAGTATTATTATTATATTATTATTATTACTATATATTTATTAGTATATTATTATTATAATTATATATTATTAATAATTATTAATTATTAATTATTAGTATGATTGTTGTTATTGTTATTATTATTATTAGTATTATTATTATCACTATTATTATTATTATTGTTTTTAGTATTATTATTTTATTAGTATTATCCTTATTATTCGTAATAGTATTATTATTGTGTTTCTTCTTATTATTATGAGTATTATCCGTATCCTCCTCCTCCTTATTCTTCTCCTCCTCCTTCTTCTCCTCCTCCTCCTCCTCCTCCTCCTCCCTCCTCCCTCCTCCTTTCTTCGTCTCCTCCTCCTCCTCCTCCTCCTCCTCCTTCTCCTCCTCCTCCTGCTTCTTGTTCTCCTCCTTCTCCTCCTCATCCTCCTCCTCCTCCTGACCTCCCTCTTCCTCCTCCATTCCAGCCTTCTCCCGCGTGCGCGCCCCTCCCGCGGGCCACGGCGGGGTGTGTGTGGCCTCTCCTCGCGACTTGAGGCGATTTAGAACGAGGCAGGTGTTCTGATATTCCAACCTCGGCTTCCTAGGGGGGAGGAGGAGGAGGAGGAGGAGGAGGAGGAGGAGGAGGAGGAGGAGGAGGAGGAGGGAGAGGAGTAGGAATAGGATGAGAGGATGTGAGGGAGGAGGAGGAGGAGGAGGAGGAGGAGGAGGAGGGGGAGGAGGCGGAGGAGAAACGGGAGAACGGGGAGAGAGGCGGAGGGGGAGGAGGAGGAGGAGGAGGAGGAGGAGGAGGATGAGGAGGATGCAGAGGAGGAGGCGGAGGAGGAGGAGGACCAGTGTAAACTTAAGACTCAGCAGCGATGTTGAAACGCATCCTCCCTGCACGATCACTCACGGGATATGATTCTATGATATTCCAACTTGCGTTTTCCTGGACCGTCAGAGCGATTTTCGAGCACCAGGGAAGCAGCGAAACTGGAGGGCCCCGAATGGCGGCACTCCTGGGAACGTCTTCACGCGTCGGGCCCTGGGAGGCGATACATGTTCGACATTTCGCCAGCGTCTCGCCAGCGTTCTGGGTGATCGAACTTATTTAATCGCTTCGCTCATTCTTCCGTTCGTCCGCCGTCCGCCGGCCCGTATGGTGCCATCGCAAAGTAGAAGGGCGGTGGCTCGTGTGCGAGGTTGAGTGGCCGCTTGGAGCACCTCGGTGGGGGGGGGGGGGGCCGTGTTGGGGGGCCGCTTGGCGACCCTTCTTAGGCGCCTCTTTTTAATAATATTTTAGGCCTCTTGGAGAACTCGGGAGGCCTCCAGAGGGCCTCCTGAGCTCTCGTGACGGTCTCTTGGGGGGCTTTCGGCGGGCTCTTGGTGGTATTTGTTGGTCCTCTTGGGGCCTGGGGCCTGACGTTGTTGGTCCTCTTGGGGCCTCACGGGAGCTTATTGGGGCGTCTTGGGGGTGTCTTGGAGAGTCTCTTGGGGCCTCTTTCGGGGTCCTGGGCGCCTTCTGGGGCGGAGGGCTCGATTTTTCAGTTCTCGGTTCCCTTCTTGAGCCCCTCTTGGCCCCGTCTTGGGGCCTCTTGGTCCGCCTTGGGCGGCACTTGGGCCGTCTGGGGGGCGCTCTTGGGCCGCTCCGGGGCCGTCTTGGGAGCCTCGTGGGCCGTCTTGGAGCAGTCTTGAAGGCCTCTTGGGCCCTCTTGGAGCGTCCGGAAGCGAAAAGGCCAGAACGCACAAAAACATCGAAAAAACAAATGAAGATCAACGATTTTGGCAACTTGGGGCCCTCTTCGGAGGCCTCTTGGAAGGCCCTTGGAGCGTCTTGGAGGCCTCTTGGGCTGTCTTGGGGCCATCTGGGGCGTCTTCGGGCGATCTTTGGCCGTCTCGGGCCTCTCTTGGACCGTCTAGAAAGCGTCTCGGGGCCCTCTTGGACCGATCTGGAGCCCTCTTGGACTCCGAAACAGAACTCCGGCATCTCTGACCCGACCTTGCCAGGGACTTGCCGGGGACTTGCCGGGACCTTGCCGGGGTACTTTTCGCCCGGGGACCCCCAGGGGCCGCCCCGCGCGCGCGAACTAGAAATACTGTTAACCAGGTACCGGAGATCTTAGCACGCCCTGGCCCGTTGGGCCGGCGAATTTTGGGGATGCGGCCCTTAAGTGCGACTGGAACGACATACGGGGCAGGTAATTCTTCGGACCCACGGCAGGTCTACTCGCGTGGATGGGGGCGGGTCACCCAGGCGTTGTTTCGTCCCTCGTGGAAGTCTTGGATGCTTCTCGTCGCCACGACTGCGTCCGCTTCGAAGAGCGGGTCAGGTTGGGCCTTGCGATGGGTTCACGGGCCGATTCTTAGCGGACTTGGGTTTGGCGGGAGCTCAAGCGTCAGTTTTTCTTTAGATTCCGATACGTGCATTTGCATGGGGGTGGGTGGGGGAGGCATGGCCCGACAGGAAGTCAGGATTTCACGCAGCTCGGGACTCACTTGCACGGCCTTTCGGCCTAGCGCTGTTCGAGAAGGCGGCGGGGGAGGAGATGGGGCGAACTTGCATACCTGAATTTGCATCTTACCTGCCCTGATACGTCCGTGTTGAAACGTAATACGTACCGTGTTCAACACGTCTGTGATAACACACTCCGTGTTGACTCGGCACGTGTTGGTCCACGTTGGCGAACGTATCGCACCAAACCTGCAGTTTCAGTTTCCGTGTGAAGCTCCGTGTCAACACGCTACGGTTTGCGTGTCGCGTGTCGGCTGACATTCGTACGAGTCTGAAGTAAGACGCCTTCCGATCGATCAGGGGGCCGACACCAGCGGAGAGAGTAGCCGCGCGGCATGCGCCAGATTGCCGCCCGCCGCGCGGCCCCGCTGGGTTGACTCCCCGACCGAGCGGGCGGCATGCGGAGTGTGGAAGGGAGGGAGGATCAGTCGAGGGGTGAGGGACTGGAAAGAGAGGGGCTGGAAGGATACGACAACGGATGATGCTGATGGTGATGATGATGTTGATGATGCTGCTGATGATGATGATGATGATGATGCTGATGATGATGATGATGATGAAGATGATGATGGTGATGGTGATGGTGATGATGATGATGCTGATGATGATGATGATGATGAGGAGGAGGAGGAGGAGGAGGCCCTGAAGGAGGAGTGAGGATCGAGACGGGGAAAGGGAGAGGAGGGCGATGAGGAAAGGGCGGAGGATGAGCAGACGGTGGAGGAGGATGAGTAGGAGGAGGAGGAGGAGGAGGAGGATCAGAAGGAGGAGGAGGAGGAGGAGGAGGAGGAGGAGGATCAACGGGAGAAAAGGGCAGAGAGGAGGAGGAGGAGGAGGAGGAGGAGGAAGGAGGAGGATGGGAGGGGATGAGGAGGGGGAGCAGGAGGATTAAAAGAGGCGGACGAGAAGGAGGAAGAGAGGAGGAGGAGGAGGAGGAGGAGGAGGAGAGGAGCCCGTCTGGGTCTGGGGCTCCCCCCGAGGCATGGTGCGTCGCGTCCCAGCTGCGTGCGTGTGCCAGGTCGCCTCATTGCCCTCCGTCCTCGTTCGTGTCGCCCTCATTTTGTGAAGATGCTTCTAATTATGCCAGTGTGTCCCCCATTCCTGCTGTCCTTCTGCTGCCCTCCTGCAGCTCCGTCCTCTTCCTCCTCCTTCCCTCCTCCTCCTCCTCCTCTTTTTGCCAAGGGGAGTCCACCTTAAGAGAGCGGCCCGGATGGTACGCACGTGCGCCGTCTGCAGCACTCCGGATGTCGTGGGTTTGTCTCTCGAGCCGTGGGCTACGCATAGCATGCAGACACAAGAGCATCTAGACATACGCAGATTGCTGCTCCGTCGTCGTCGTCGTCGCCGCAGTCGTCGTCGTCGTCGTCGTCGTCGTCGTCGTCGTCGTCGTCGTCGTCGTCGTCGTCGTCGTCGTCGTCGTCCGTCGTCGTCGTCGTCGTCGTCGTCGTCGTCGTCGTCGTCAGTCGTCGTCGTCCTCGTCGTCCTCGTCGTCCTCGTCGTCCTCGTCGTCCTCGTCGTCGTCCTCGTCGTCGTTGTCGTCGTCCTTCTCCTCCTCCCCCTCCTCCTCCTCCTCCTCCTCCTCCTCCTCCTCCTGCTCCTCCTATCGCTGTCATGATTGCCGTCGCACGCCTCGCCCCTCCTGCCGTAATGCTGCTGCTCCTTGTCCTCCTCGTCCGCCTCGGTCTCCTTAGGGATCTCCTCGTCCTCCTCGTTGTCCTTCTCGTTGTTCCTCCTTGCCCTCCTCATTGTCCTTCTCATTGTTCCTTCTCATTGTCCTTCTCATTCCCTTCGCGGCCTCCTCATTGTTCTTCTCGTTGTTCCTCCTTGCCCCTTTACCGCTGGCTTTGACTGCAGCCCCCAACGGCTCCACCACCACATCCTTCTTGTTTTGAGCGCTTCGTGCATTCCCACCAGCCCCTCCAGAAGCGATGCCCAGGCGAGTTACCCTGACCAGTGATGTGTAAGAATATGCAGTGTAGTAACGAGCTGGGGAAGCCGTCATACCCCAAAAGGGGGAGGATGGAGGATGAGTCGAAGGAGGAGGAGGAGGAGGAGGAGGAGGAGGAGGAGAAGGGGGATGGGGAGGTGGAGGGGGGAAACGGAGGAGGGAGGAGAAGGACGAGGAGGAGGAATTCGCGGAGGAGGAGGAGGAGGAGGAGGAGGAGGAGGAAAACGAGGCGGGAGAGCAGAATGGCATAGGCCTCTTGGATGTCTCTCGGAGTCTCTTCGGATGTCTCTTGAAAGCTTCTTGGAGTCCTCTTGATGCGTCGTGGAGGGCTTGTGATGGTCCTGGGGGCCTCTTGGAGCGTGTTGGGTGCCTCGGGGGAACCTCTTTGGGCCTCTGGGGGGTCTCTTGGGAGCCTCGTTTGGACCTCTTGTGGGCTTCTTGGGGCGTCCTGGGTGCCTTTTGGGGCCCTTTTGGGACATTCATGGGGCCTTGGGGGCCATATTGGGGCTATCTTGGAGGAGCTCGATCAAAAAAGGGTGAGACTTAATTAGCGTCGCCCCGCCCCCCCTCCCCCCTCCCCCAATTTTTGAAGCATCAATGAGTGTTGTCTTCTCGCCGAGGCCAAGCAAGACTCTCTGACACCTCGCGGCCCCTCCCTCCCAGACCACCCTCCCCGCCCGCAAGCCGTCTTGCTCACTCCCGCCCGCCCTCCCAACACAGAAGTAGCACCCGAGCCGCAGCGTGTTCAGCGGTCGTCTGTGGATGGGCAGCTACTGGGAACCAGAACAGATCCCATGTGTGCGACGCTGGGGCGAGGGACGCCAGGCGTGCCAGGCGCGCCACGCTCGCCAGGTGCGCCAGGCACCCCTGGGGGCCCAAGCGTGCCAGTCACGCCCGGTGCGCCAGACGCGCCACGTGATCCACGTGCGCCATGTTTGCCGTATGTTCGCATGTTGCATCCGCGCAAGGTGCGCCACGTTCGGGGCACTCGCAGAGTGTACCATGTGCGCCTGCGTACGTAGCAGCTCACACTTGGAACCATGTCGGCCCCCACCGCCCTTGTGGAAGACCAGTGCGCAATCGCGGTGGGGTGGCCATCATAGTGCTTGGTGGGCCTGCACACAGCAAGGCAATCTGCCAGCAACCTCGCCGTCCCAATCAAAAACCAATGCACAGTGATCGCTGGGCAGCCGCGAGTGATCCAGATGTTGCATCGAAGTGCATGTTTTACTGTTCCCAACCCTCCGTTTTTGGGTTCTCATCTTGAATAGGGCACTGTGGTCTCCACGGCATCCTCCTCCCGTCTTCTTCCTTGGCTCTCTCTCTCTCTCTCCATCGCTCTCTCTCTCACTCACTCTCTCTCCTCTTGTCCTGTGCCTCTCTCGTACTTGCCCCTGACCTCGCCATCCATTGGGGGCTGCGATCTGCGAAACTGCCGGCACTTTCGAGGGCTGCAGGGGGGCCAGCACAGTAGTGGGGCCCTACACGTATTCAGATTAGGCCTCGCCATCCTTGGGGGGCTGCGATCTGCGAAATTGTCGGCACTTTCGAGGGCTGTTGGGTGGGTCAGCAAAAGTAGTGGGGCCCTACCCATATTCAGATTAGACCTTGCCATCCCTGATCTGCGAAATTGTTGGCACTTTCGAGGGCTGCTGGGGGGGCCAGCACAGTGGTGGGGCCCTACACGTATTCAGATTAGACCTCTCCGTTCCTCGCGGGGGCTGCGATCTGCGAAATTGCCGGCACTTTCAAAGGCTGTTGGGGTGGCCAGCACAGTAGTGGGGTCCTACCCATATTTCAGGTTTGACCTTGCCATCCCTAGGGTGGCTGCGATCTGCGAAAATGTCGGCACTCTCGAGGGCTGCTGGGGTGGCCAGCATAGTGGGGGTCTTACGCAGATTCATATTCGACCTCTCTATTCTCTGGGTCTGCGATCTGCGAGAGTGTTTGCACTTTCGAGGGCCGATTGCTGGCATACCTCGAATCATCATCTCCATCCTTCCTCTGACCGTCGTTTGACGTCGCTCTCGTGCTGCTGCCATGTCCCCTTGCTGCTACCCCGCTTACGTTTCAAACTCCCTGTCCGCCTTCTCCTCTTAGTCCTTGCCCCGCTTTCTCCTCGACCCAGGGAGCTAACCAATCACCTTCAACAAGCCCATGCCCAGTGATCGGTGTCCTGCGGGCCGCGCACCTCGCGAGCCTCCCATATACCGTTGTCAGAACATACATCCCCTTGCCCCGGTACCACCCCGTATAAGTCTGCCCAGCTTTTCTGGCCATGCGTTGCGCAAGGGTTGGATACTTCGTCAGGTATTTGGTTGACAGGGATGGTGGGGGGGTCTGCATTGGTCTTGGTCGGCTGCCAGTCGCCTCGGGGAGGTGGTGTTTATTAATAGGGAACAGTGATCAAAACGCCTTCCCCGCCCGCAAGGCTTTCTCGCTCACTCCAACCCTTCCTCCCAACACATGAGTCGCACCCGACCCTCAGCATGTTCAGCGGTCGTCTTTGGATGGGCAGCTTCAAGGAACCACATAAGACCCTCTGTGCGCGACGCTGGGGCGAGGTGCAACATGCGTGCCAGGCGCGCCACGCGCGCTAGGTGCGCCAGGCTCCCCTTGGACCCAAGCGTGCCAGGCACGCCTGGCGCGCCACGTGCGCCATGTTTGCCGCATGCTCCAGCCGCGCCAAGTACGGCACGTCCGGGGCTCTCGCAGAGTGTCCCAGGTGCGCCCGCGCACGTGACAGCACACATCGGAAAACATGTCGGCCCCCACCACCCTTGTCGAAGACCATTGCGCAATCGCGGCGGAGAAGCCATCATAGAGTCTGGTAGGCCTGCACACAGCAGAAACCAATGGGCAATGATCGCGGGGTGGCCGCGCATGATCCAGATTTAGCCGCGAAGTGCACTACAGATTGCTCGCGGGGCCCGCGAGCATGACCCAAGATTTCATTGCGACGGCTTCCTGGTGTCATTATCCGATCCAGCCGATCAGGCCCCAACTAGCCGATCAGCCGATCAGCCGATCAGACTGATCGGTTTATCGGCTCATCGGCTAGTTTTGGCCTCATCGGCTGATCGGCTGATCAGCTGGTTGGCGCCTGATCGGCTTATCGGCTGTTTGGCACCTGATCGGCTGCTCGGCTGGTTGGCGCCTGATAGGCTGATCGGCTGATCTATCACACTCTCACACTCACCCGTTCGCGGTCTGGTTGTGGGGAGGTCTCGAGCGAGGCGCCAATTTTGCTTCACCGACTCCTCTGCTATCAGAGCGGATCGTCGGGATCTCACGTGCGAGGCGCTTGTTTTAGCACCCCAAGGTGGAGCCGCCAAGATGCACTCAACTCGCCCGTTCGCGGCCGAATGGCGGAGGTGCCCGTGCGAGGCGCTCGATTGACATCCCCGACCTCTCTGCATTCGGAGTCCCACTCTGGCACGCTCTGTACTCGAGATCTTCACGTCGAGAGAGAGAGAGAGAGAGAGTGAGAGAGAGAGAGAGAAAGATACAGAGACAGAGACAGTGAGGGACAGGGATAAAGAGAGACATATACATAACGTATCGTTGATGACGATACAGATGATGCTGATGATGCTGCTGTTGATGATGATGCTGATGCAGATGATGCTGACGATGACGATGACGATGCTGATGATGATGCTGATTCAGATGCTGATGATGATGCTGCTGATGATGACGATGATGATGACGATGACGATGACGATGATGACGATGACGATGCTGATGCAGATGCTGATGATGATGCTGATGATGATGACGATGATGATGATGACGATGACGATGATGACGATGACGATGATGATGCTGATGATGATGATGATGATGATGATGATGATGACGATGCTGATCATGAGATGACGATGGTGATGATGATGATACTGATGCTTTCGTCGTTAGCGCTAGTCCTGGGCCTCTGGCGAGTCTTTGGTGCCTACCCTAGAAGTAATCACCCTTGGTGGCATAGCGGGTTGAGCCTACATGCAGCACAACGGGGCAGTATCACGGACGGGGCAGCAGTACGGCGTTACGGCTAGCCTTAACAGCAGCAG